ATGCCTAATTTTTATTTTTTTTTTAAAGTTATAGACGAGCTTGCTATTGGAGTGATATATTTGAANAGTTCAAGTTAGAAAATAAAATCTGACTTCATAATGCCACAATCACGTATTGCCTCCTCCAACATCGACATGTGGAACTGCGAGGGAGTAACAAGAAATGAGAGAGGTTATCTAGATTTAACATATACATACACTCGAATGCTATAGTTCTCGTTTCCTAATTGTGCACATATAATAAAAGGTAATGCCTAATTTTTATTTTTTTTTTAAAGTTATAGACGAGCTTGCTATTGGAGTGATATATTTGAAATAAAAAAATTGATTTTAAACTCAAAAATTGTTAGCATTTATGCTGTTTGTACATTATTTTTATACATCTTGGAGGACATTTGAACACGTGGCAAAATCGTGACTATTGATTGTTTTAATTACTGGAAAAATCAATTATAAAATTAGGTATAGAATATCAATTAGAATGGTGAAGAGTGTACTTGGCTCCACCCATGGGTGCAATAGTGGTGTACTGCCTAACGCTTTGTCTATTAATTATTGGGATTGGATATTAATTTATTGGTCACATCAAAAAATTATTAATATTTCTTTTGTAATTAGATAAATTGCAACAGCAGTCCTTGAGAACTTTTATCCTTAACACTTTTACTTTTACGCGAAAATGATTTTTATTAACGATATTCATTCAAAATAATGGTGCCTAGTGATGGTTTTCTCAACGTTTTCTTGTCAATAAAAGGATACAAATTAATTTAACAGTCGAAAATTCTCTAAATGAAATTAAAATGTTACCTTTCCTTTTCCCTTTTTGTGCTCATAGTTTGATATCTTGTTTTTCATTTTTGTTGCTCATCTAAGTACTTTGGATTGGGTTCCGATTTTGGATACCTAGATCGAACGTAGCACTTTTGAATAGGACTTTCCGACACGAAAGGGTTTTTGGTTCGGGGAAGGATTGTGTTAGGGGTGTTGTTAAGTGCGTCGGCTCGTTCATTAGCGAGCCGTGGACGCTCAAACCAAGCAACGATTTGGTCATGCGGTCATTCGTGTGCAAGTCGATTTGTCAAATTGAGAGAAATATGCATTTTTTGTTAAAAAAAATAAAAAGTGCTTGAGCTTGGCTTGGCCCATAAGCGAGTGCAAGACGGCGAACTTAATGATCCTAGCTCAACTCGATGGTAGGCGAGCCAAGATGTTCAACTCACTTCATTCAACACTTCAAAATTGGGTGGAGTCGAGCAATGGATTCGGAATTTAGTACTAACTCGATTGACGTTTGTAGATATCTAACTTCTTTTAGGTATCTCTTTTAAGACGTGTGAAACATCGAGTTAGACATAATTGATAATAACAAAACACGAATAATTTTTATAATTTTGTTATAGTTCATGTTATGTCTATCGTGGATGTGACGACCACTAAAATATTAGCAAAAAGCTAATCTGCTACCTATTGGATAACTCAATCACACATTATTTATCATGTACCAAATATTTTTGGATAGTAGCTTAAGGTGGTGGTGGGTCCTTTTGTCGCTAGTCAAATTTCTTTTGTATAAAGGGTTTTTTGTAAGCGCCAAAAAAAGTTGGAAGGCCAATTTATGGGGCATCATGGGGTTAAGAAATGATCAATTTTTGAATAACTTTTAATTTGTGTTTACACTCTTTAGTGCTTCTCCATATTCATTGGCGGATCCAAGATTTTGAGTCAGTATGGACGGTCGTTGATCATCGACCATTGACATATTTGATGCCCTTTTTTTGCAAAGAATGTGTGATTAAAAATAAGGAAAAATTTTGAATTTGCATGTAATATTATTTTATTAAAAATGTGGTTGAAAAAAAAGAGAAAATGTATTTTTAAAAAATGGGAATCAAACAAGGTCTAAAATTTAAATATAACAATTATTTTGTTCAAACTGAACGTATATAATATTGTCTTAAAAAACTTACAATCTTGACTAAATAATATTGTGGCCAACTTTTGTATAATTCATAGGAAGAACACAGATTCGAATTTTTACATTTGCATTTAAACCGCTACAATGTAACATATATTATTTTGGTAAACTTAATATCAAATTCCGTGAGTGCCACAATGATCAAGAGTTCAATATCTTATCGTGAGGTCAGGAGTTCGAATCCCCTCCNATTATCGGTTATATAACCTAAAAAGTTTATCCATTGTCAACAAAAAATTGTTCCCGACAGATCTAACGTGCGCGATCATCGGGGCTCGTCCGGTGCTAGTTCCGCCACTTTCCGTATGCACCACGTTTGACTTAGCTTATAATTTAATTTAATGTCAAGTAAGAATTTTTCAATGTACGATAAAAGTTATTGTCAAAATTCTGCACATTAAATTGACAGTTTGACAGCGTCGATAAAAGTGCTTTTATTTTATAATTTGTATAGTGCTATGACTAATTTCAACTATTAATAATATATCATATTCTTTTGAGTTCTTGACAAATAATATATCTGAGTATATGAAAGTTATTTTTGATATTTTACTAAATTAATAATAGGCAATATTTTTTGAAAAATGCTCCAAGTACAGGAGCATATTTTACAGGGGCCTAGGTTACTCACACTGGAGGGCCCCACATGTTTTTAAAAAAATGGAAAAAAAAATGCACCCCTCCCCCCTTGTATTAGTAGCCTGGCAGATATTTTTTAGAGAGGTGCTACATGTACAACACTTGAATTATAATAATGGATGACAACCTGTAACAAAGAGGTGGGGCCCGAGATCCAGCAATTAAAAATAATCTCGGGCCCCACCTCCTTGTTAGAGGTTGTCATCCATTGATGTAATCCAAAATTGTACAACTAGAATTATTCATTTTTTTAAAGTAATAGTTTCATTCTGTATTTAATTTTCTGTAAAAATGATAGATAACACGTGACGTGACAATAAACAATAACATTAAAACTAAAAAATATAGTTGAAAATAGTGATCAATCATGATTGGTGTACAATATTTCTTACAACATTGTTGAAAACACGACACATTGAAACTCGTTGTACAGTTTAAAAAATAATTTATCTTTTCAATCAACATTTTTTGATACGTACAACATTATTAATGTTGTCAAAATCATCTGTAAAATCATCGTACAAATGTCATTATCCCTGATAATAATTTCATTAGCCACGATTTTAAATTGTTCGGCAGTTCCAAGCATGTGCTTCTCAAAAACTTGCCAAATTTAGCCTAATCAGATGTGAAATAAAAAATTCATTTGCAATTTCCGCGCATGTACCGGCATTTCTCGGATGTGCAGCAAGATTGCAAGTCTTGATACGAAGTTTCCACTAACATAACGTAGTCGTAGAATCTGAATTTCTCGATGATGTTTTCGGAGAAAATTCAAGCTAAGTCGCATTTAATATCCAGGCAACTTCTAATACTTGAGTCGAGAATAAGTTGTCCCATCGATAAAGAACTGATGCGTAAGACGATGTTCAAAACCTTGACGATTTAGTCTTTAATAGTTTCGAGTCAACTTCGAATTAGTTCAAAATTGTCAACTTCAAACTGATGAGCAAGACGATGTTCAAAACCTCGACGATTTAGTCTTTTGTTGTTTCGAGTCAACTTCGAATTAGTTCAAAATTGTTCACTTTTCGTGTCAATTCCATCAAAATGCATTCGAGTTGGGATTTCACCTGCAATTAACATATTTTAAGCTAAATTAGGTAGATATTTCTTTCAATTAATCACAAATAAAAAAGTAAAGAAATTCAAATAAGTGTATAAAATATACTTACAAAAATTCTCTATATGATGTGACATTTATATTATGTCCTTGTTTGATTTCTATTATTTTCAAAATACATTTTTTTTCTTACTTTTCTTTTCAACCATACATTTCTTTATAAAATAATATTACACGCAAACCCAATTTTTTTTTTATTTTTAACTATACATTCTTCATCAATCAATTATTTCAAAATGCATTCTTACAATAAAATGCGGCTCAAACATACGTGATAACGTGAGTAAAGTGAGTTTCATATCCATTAATTTAATTGACATTATCAATGAACCCAACATCACCGGTAAAAATTACAAGTCTAAGCAGTAATTAAATTTTTTTCGAGATCTCTAATAGGTATGTTCTCAAGTCTTTAGTATATCCTGTCAACTAAGCAATTTCTGTCAGTTTGGAAGACAATATGTGACAATGTAATATGATGGTAAAATTTGAAACTGAACTGAAGATAATATAAATTAAAATTTAAGGACCTACTTTGAATTTCTCTATAAGTTGAATGACTGAGGATGAAATGTATACAATGGAATGGATTTTCCAGGGTTGACAACGTTGGTTGACAATCACATGTCGTCAAAATCCAACCCCGTGATGTAGAAAACAAAATTTTAAAGAATTATGTTAAATGTACATTTCTTTGTGTACATTTCTTTATATTTCAAAAAGTGTTGCATGAAAAACTGTGTTTTTTTTTTAAAATTGTCCAATCATGTTTCGTCACGTGAGACAATATCAAAAATAATATAAATAATGATGTACATATAATATGATTATTTTTTAAAATAGATGAATACGATGATACTAGTAGAAAAATACAGTAGTGGTACAAACTGTACAGAGCAAATCAGAACAATGCCACCCACTCAGACAACTATCTGTATAAAAAATAAAAATAAATAAAAAAGATATCTGGCTGCCAGTAGATATAGATCCACTCAAGAAGAAAGCTCATATGCACTTGCAGCAGCAGTAGCAATAATATCTTATATCGTACTTAGTCGGTCTTTAGTTGAGACACGACAGCTCCTGCTTCTTCCTTCGTTGTTTCTCTCTCTTTTCCACAAGGGAAACTACAACATAAATTTACTTTTAAATTCCTACCAAAACCGCCTCATCTCTCTTTAAAGTCTTGTTTTCCCACAGTGTCGGCTACAAGTTACTTGGCACATTTCGTTGTTTTTCTTTCACGTTAAGCTTAACACAATGAATAAACAAGATATGCTCAAGGTTCAGGTATTTTTCCTCTTATCCATTCAAGAAATTGAATTTTGTAACTTTAACAATTTTTTGTGGGTTATTTGATTTATTTCTGATTTTGTGCTTTATGAATTACTGCAGACTTGTGTTCTGAGAGTTAACATACACTGTGAAGGTTGTAAGCAGAAGGTTAAAAAGATACTACAGAAGATTGAAGGTATTTTTATGTTTTCTTCACATACTGAATCTCCGTCTATGTTTGCGGTGGCTGGTTTTAACCTTTTAAGTTCAGGCCAAAGGAGGGCTTAGTCCGGCGAGGCCGGCGTAAAATTTATTGCTCAAAACTGAAAAAGTTAGTTTCCCACTGCAATTCTGGTTGGTTTTGCTGATTTTTTTGCTTCATTACTCTTTTAGGGGTGTATTCGGTAAATATTGATGCGGAACAAGGGAAGGCGACAGTATCAGGAAATGTTGATCCAGCAACACTCATAAAGAAGCTTGACAAGGCCGGTAAGCATGCCGAGCTATGGGGAGCACAAAAAGGTCACAATCAATGGAACAATCAGTTCAAGGACATTCAGTTCGACAATTTTAAGGGTGGAAAAGATAATAAATCTCAAAAGGGTGGGAAGGACCAACAGAAGGGTGGAAATCAAGCTCTTCAACAGATGCAACAGAACAAAGGATTGAAAGACGTGAAATTTGTGGGCAAGGACCAAAAATCTGTCAGGTTTAAGTTGCCTGAAGACGAGGAAGATGATGAGTTTGATGACGAGTTCGACGAGGATGATGATGAGTTTGATGACGAGTTCGACGATGATTTTGGTGGTCACGACCATCAAGTACCAAATAAAATGATGAATACTAAGGGCAGCGGTGGTGGTGGAGGTGGCGGCCAGGGACTACATGGGCATAATGCAATGAAAAATGGTCCTGCGAAAGGTAGTGGTGGTAATAAGGGAGGAGACGGCAAGAAAAGCAGTGGAATTAATATGTTTATTAAGGGCTTAACGGGGAAAGGCAAGAATAAGAATGGCAATGAAGGAAAGAATGGCAAGGGAGGAAATCAAAATCACGGTGGTGACAAAAACGGAGGTAAAAAGTGCGGTTCTGCAAAGGGAGAAGGTAAAAATGGGGCAGCAAGTGGCAAAGGTACAAAGGATAGTGGTTTTGGTGGGAAGAACAATGATAATTTGGGAGGGAAAGAAAATTTTAAGGGAGGCCTAAAAATGAGTGGTAAGCAGGAGCAGGGGTTCGATGAGATTGATTTGGTTCAGAAAGGCGGTGGCGGGGGTAAAAATATGGGTCCAATGGGACATATGGGTAACTATCCCATGGGTCAAATGGGGAATATTCCGGCAGCTCAAGGATTGCCACCGATGGCCGGTATGAATTCAGGTCACTACCAAGGGATGGGACCGGGGAACCCTTACGCTATGCAACAAAACATGGCACAGATGATGATGAACCAGCAGCGGGCGAATGGCCAAGATATGTACCATCCTATGATGTATGCGCGCCAACAGCCCCCGTTGAGTTATGGACCGCCCATGAGTTATGGACCGCCTCCTGGTGATCAGTATACTCACATCTTCAGTGACGAAAATGCTACCGGCTGCAGCATCATGTAAACTAGTAGAATGTGTTGTTCTTCGTTTTCTAATATCGAGTTTGTGACAATTTGTCGTGCTCCTAAGCTGAGGAATATGTTACTAGTTTATATTTTCCCGTAAACTAAATCATATTATCAATAAATATAGAGTCGATTATATGAATCATTTACTTCATTATTCTGTTTGATTCACCAATCCTGTAATGAAGTGAATAATAGTCAAAAGCTACAAGGCACAAGCTGAAGAGAATCACTTGGAACGTAAGATTTCCTATTTTCCTGTATAGAGACTTTGCAATGAGGTAATGCATTTTTCGATTTTTGTGTACTACTTTATGAAAAGATGCAAAAATACTTCTTTTTTTGCCTTCAGATAGTACACTCAAACAGGTGCATCAAGAGCTCGAAGATAGATAATTTCGGGGGGTGTTTTGAGCCCATTCATTTTGAAAAATGTATTTTCGAATAGTAGATTGATTAAGAATGTGTTGTTAAAAAAAAAGAATAGTTTTTCGTTTATGTGTAATATTAATTTAATGAAAAATATGTGATTGAAAAGAAGAGGAAAAAACCAATTTTGAAAAAATTGGGAATCAAACTTTTTTTGAAAAATAATTTTTATAGGAACTTTTTATTTCAGAAGTCCTTTTAGAAGAAATTACATTAGGAGCTTGTTTGGTACAGTTTAAAATTGAATTAAAATTGAAAATATAGTCGTTTTTGGGTCTCACTCGTTTAATAAAAGTCAACAATAAAGGCTAATTTTTCAATTTTAATTCGACTTTAATCCCTACAGAACACGCCATGGATCTGTTTCCTTTAAAAACTCTTCTCACTACTAGGAGTGCTTTCATAGAATTAGCAAAACGAATATAAAAGCAGCTTTTGAGTCTCAGAATCTCCTTTTGACTTTACGAAAATCATGCCAAACGGTCCCTAAGGCTGTTCTACAAATTAAGCCACTCGTTGTACCCCAATTAATTGTATTTACTAATGAATTAAACCTTGCAAGGAAAAAGGTTCATGTAGTCGACTTACCATGAAAAAAGGTTCAGGTAGTAAGTAGACTAATGTTCATTGAGATTAACAGACAGAGAGGCAGTCTGCTGCTGTCCTTTATACCATTGTACTTTTACTAGGAGAGAGATATTCCCATGGTTTCACTTAAAAAGGGAAAAAGCTATGAAATTCTTGTAACTTTGGGGTAGAGAAGGTTGTGATCCTCTAGCTTTTGGCTAGCTAGCCATGTGCATTTAATTTAGCCTTCTTTCTCGTTAGACTTTAATAAAGAAAATTACTTCTTTCGGTAAATTGGATTGTTTGGTAGTGGACAGAAAACAAAGTTTTTAACACAGTGTCGATTGTACTGTACAGTTTTATCCAAACAACAATGGTTGATTAAATTTATGGGAAGTATAAGAATTAATACCTCCAATCTACTTAGGCTATGTTTGATAGCCACTTTTTCCATGGAAAATGGAAAAAAAAAAATTTCATTTTCACCCTTAAATCTGTGTTTTATAGACAAAATTTGGCATGGAAAAGGAATTCCCATACTCCCACCCACGCGTCCCTTTTCCAGCATTCTGAGGTATTCCTTTTCCCAACTTTTTTGTGGGAANTAATGATTGATGGAAGAATATGTGGTTAAAAAGTAAGAAGAATTTTTAGGTTTATGGGAATATTATTGATAGAAAGTGTGGTTGAAATGAAGAAAGAGAAAAAGAATGAGAATGAGAAAAAAAAAATGGGTGCCAAACGGGGGCTTAATAGACAATTCTCATATAAAATAAAGTTAAACGTGAACAAAAAGATCCAAAATTTTAAAATTTTTCAGGGTGGAAAATTTTAGTTATCAAACACGCTTAATTAACAATTCCCTACAAAATAAGTTCTAAGCAATTACTTTTTTTGAAATTCATTTTCTTTCCACCCATTTTCCACCTATGCAATCAAACGGACTCTTAGATAAAAGAAGGCTTCCCAGAAAATTATTTCCTAACGATGATCAGTACAACGCCACCTTATACAGTTATTGAGCACTCGATGTTCAAGTCTTTGATCATATTCATTTGTTGGTTTTATTCTTCGGTAAAAATTAGCTAAACATCGACTCAATATTGATTGTTAGGTCATAGTTTGAAAGTCCAAAGGTCAATTTTGTTGTAAAGATTGACACGCATGTCAAACATGTTACCACCATTGATCAATGCCATTGATTAATGACTATTGTGATCAAGAAGCAAAATTTAAAAGTCTTTCAAGCAACTTGTGAACCAAGCACACGCGAGTAAAATATATGTGGACATGTTATTTAAGAAAATTATCATTAATAAAGACGATAATATGATATATTTCATATATTCAGAGTAGTTCTAGAGTCGCAATAAGCAATTTATAGAAACAAGAGGCTACACTTTGCCAGATTATTTTTAAAAAGTGTCTAACTCAAGTATCGTAATCGTCACATTCTCAACTTACACGAAAAGCAAAAGTTAATGATTAAGGTAAAGAAAAAAAATGAAAGTGTAGGATTATGGTGTTGCAAGTGATGATTAAAAGACAAGCAAGAAACATGGATAAACACGAAATCCAATCTTATGTTCTGACCCCACCTCAATGATCGATAAAACCCAAAAGTCTTGAATACGATCATACATTAATGTTTAATTTCTTGGATGTCATCAAAAAAACCGTGAACGGTGTAATGTCAATTACTAGAAAATAAAGATTTGGAATGAGTCTTGAAACGACATATTTCGACAAAGCATGCGAACTCCATCGATTCTAAATTTTGTTGTGAGTCATCTATCTTCGACTTGTTAGGCTTTCATTCTTGTTTTTTCGGAAATGATTTAAAAGACGATTGATTGAAGAATGAACACTTTTATTTTTTCTAATTAGATTTCATGATTTGAACGAAAAATAATTTTTTCATTGTGGACGATATATAAAGAGAGAAATCTTAATCCAACCGAAAAGAATTCTACTTTAAAGTATGTCAACTTCTTTAAATAAGGAAATTATAGTTGTGTTCGGAATATGAAATTGAATATTTTTAAAAGAGTAATATTATTCATTCTCAGTGGGGATGAAAATACAGTCTAGGTGGCTTTAAATGATAGGTTAAATGAAATGTGAAATTAAATAATTTCACATATCATTTAATGCCACATTAACGCCACCTAAACTGTGTTTTCATCCTCAGTAGGGATGAATAGCATTACTTTTTTTAAAAAGTGCATGACTTATATAAGCCGGATTTATATAAAGATTAATATTGGAACATTGGTGATGTGACGTCCATGTGGAATAATGAAATTGACAGTTTAATTTTTACGAAAGAGAAGGAGAGAGAGATGTGAAGATAATGTGTTGTCACGTCGTCGTCGATATTTTATTATCATAATAATAAATATTAGTTGAATTGATAGTTATATAATTCATATTATGTAATGATCAAATTATATCCCATGTTATTTGTGTATGTAATTCATATTAGAACATATTTCGTCTCTATATTTTTTAATTTGCTAATTATAAATTTACATGCTATTTTTTTTTTTTCGTGCTGATATTGACTCCGTTAATGTATTCACGATCATAACTAATTGCATTTTCTTTCCTACTTCATTGGTTTAATTTTTTAAAAAATCACTAAGAGAATTTATAAGCATAAAACAATTAATCAAGAAAATAAAATTCTATTGAATAATGAGTACAAAAAATAGAAAAGATTATCTGATATAAATAAACAAATACTTAATCACAAAGATAAATTTGCCTTAAAGCCTCGCCAAAGCAAAAACATCAAAATCAACGAGGAAAGAATCAAAATTCATTTTGCTGATCAAAAGAAGGGGAGAATATGATTTTGGTGGTTTCAGGGTTCAGCAGGCTCTAATTAAGCACAGAGTAATAATGATCGAACAGACTCAAAGACAGAAAAAACAGACTGACTTGACAACACTTGTTTGGATTTTTTTTTTCTAAATTTCCAAATTGTCCATTCATGCGTCGACACATGTTTTCCCTGTTTTTAAGCCTATTTGTGTAGCATAATTGAGTGTGCACCATGGCCTCTCTCCGACAACTTTAATTTGCCTACTCCCATCGCCGAAGTTCAAGTAAATTTCTCGCATAAGATTTTACTTTTTATTTTTTTGTTATGTTCAATTTACATATCTAGATCCGTGCTTGACTTGGTTCGATATTTTTTCTAATTACTAGTTTTTGCCCCGTGTAATGCACAGATTGTATTATTTGGAAAGTAATGTTAGCGTCTTGAATGTTAAGAATTGATAGGAGATCATATTAAAAAAATTTAATAAACACATTTGTATAAAATAAATAATGTTTAATAAAGATGCAATGGTTAATCCAAAATTTGAATAAAAAGCAGTAATTTACAAGATAGTATACAATAATTTACCTGAAAATAATGAATTAAGAAACATTAAGTGTCATTTTGACTTAGCAAACGAATTCAAACGTTCAAAATCCCTCATACGTCATGACAAAGCTGTGAGTTCAATGGGAATCGCCGTGAGCTTTCCGGAATGGGGTCATTGGCAAAAAACGAACACTATGTTCTTTAGTATGAATCAAATGACTGTAACAGACATTTCCAGCAACTTTTTGCGGGGATCAAGGGCAACGACCCTGAAAGGTAGGGATCGACCTGCCCGATCAGATTACGGGGATTGAGGAAGCAGAGCCCCTCGTTGGGGCTAGGGGGCAACGCCCCTAAAAGGAAAATGTATGTGTTGAAAAGATATATATGTGTGTGTGTGTGTGTGTGTGTGGTGCATGGAGACACCGTGTCTCTGCACGGAGCACCTGTCCGTGACACATAGAGACATCATCTCCGTGCGCGTACGAAGATACAATAGGACTTTTTTTTTTTGCTTTCTCTAGAGCCAACATTTTATCATTCTGAATGGTTAATACTCTTGCTATCACACAATCATCCACTCGGGTTTTCCACCTCCTTATTCTTGTTTTTTATTTTGTTTTTCA